CTCAAAAAACAAATCTAAAGGAGTCGATGCAGATTTGAAGGGCTATGGGAATCAGAAGAGGTGTAAAACAGCTTGAGGAGGCAAAGCTTCTAAATTTGTCCCCATAATTTTTGACAAATTTCACAAAAAAAAAAAACTTTACCTATTTTAACAGTGGCAGATATTAAAACGAATTCACAAAACAGCATCATTTTGTATCCCTCTCTGTGTTAGATTCATCATCACAAGGCATTGCACTTCTGCTGGGCTAGCTGAGTTCATCTGGTTTAAAAGTTTGATAGCTTTCTTCCAGAGGTATGGGTCTAAAGCAGACACCTTTCCTCAGAGTGGGCTGCACTGAATGATAAATTAAATAGCCATCTGAAATCTTATCTAAATGCCAAACCCCAGGTACCTGAATGAATTGTTTGCACTTTACTGCAAAACAAATATCAACCTAAGGGTAGAAGATGGTAAACGCTTCACAGACACAAGGAATGGAAACTTTGCTAGATGCTCAAAAAGGTGACTTAAATGGTAAAGCCTGGCTGTCAAACTGTGAGTAGGTATGTGATAACATGTTTCAAGAAACTAACAGTGGGTACAGAAACCATTGCTGCTTCAAATGTAACCCAAGTTAATAGTTCCGGAAAGGTGAGAACAGCCAGTGACTTCCATGAAGTCAGTTGTGTGTCCTCAGTGCAGCAGTATCACACAGAGACAGAGCAAAAGAGGGCAAGAGCTGTTTGAACATGGAAGCCGAGTTACCCTCCATGTTAGGGTGAAACGCATTAGTGGGTGCCAGGGAAGCTGCTTCTGCTGCCACTCCCTTTAGTTTGTCTGTTCTGTGAAAAAATCAACTTCTTGCTTTGCTACCTTCTTGCTTTTCCCACAGCTAGCAGGAGTCATCAGATGGGATTTTCACTCACACATGTCCAAATGGCTGTATATCACACCATCCAAATGAAAAGACATCTCATCAGACTACTGGAGAGGACTCTTGTGGAGAGTAGAATTAATGCTGCTGATTTGTTGTGTCAACTAAGGCACCAATATCCTGAAAAACTATGCTTCCTCCATGAGGAAGAGTGGGACCTTCACTGCTCAACAGCAACAGTCTGCTCGCACATGTGCATGCCAAGGATGGGCACATGAAATCAGCAGCAGATCACATAAATACAAGCAATATGGACATTTTCACTTTTTTTTCTCTCTCTTTTTATTTTACAACCCTTTTTTCTCAACAAGAATAGGGAGTCAAAGAGCAAGATCTGCTTAGCAATTGAAATTCATCCTTGTGCAGAGGCTCCCAAGAGCCATCACACAAATTGAAACATTAGCTTTCGGAAGCATTGGGGCTGAAGCCACAGTGAATGAAAGTTCCCACATACCTCCAGGGCCCTGAAATGAAACAGGGCCACACAGCCCCGTTTTCCAAGGATTTGCAGGTAAATAAATCAACTAATTCCTCCTCTGCTGTCTTGTTTGGAGATTTTTCTCACCCTAAATTCCCCTCACAGACAAAAATATCTGGGCTGGCTTCCTTCAGATTTAGCTATCCTAGCAGGGCAGTCTTCTCCCATTGCAATAAAAGATACCAAGTTTTAATGATTTTCCACTGGTTTACCTTGAGGAGGAAGATGTTCCTGAAAGGTTAGTACGTAGTTGAGCATTTGTAACACAGAAATTTCTTACTATGTTTGTAAACCGCCAATGGATTCCTCAAATAATAAACAGTCATTTTGTTGTATTTTGCACAGGTACAAATTTTAATTTCAAGGAAATAAAGATTCCTGATATTGCTTTCCTAATATCATTTTAATTCATAGTCATCAACTACCCACATTATCTTCTTAATTTAAACACCTTCAGAACACAATGTGAAAAATCCAATGTACTAAAGAATTAGGCCACTTCAAACTTGTTCACATGCCATGCCTTTAATTTGCTATTAAAAAAAAAAAATTAGCTTCTTTTGTGAATGAGGTTCATGATCAGTTCCCAACTTCTCTCATTATATTTATGTACATGGCATTACTAGATTTGTAATAATACTAAACAATATAGCTTCCATCATGCATAAGCAATCAACTCCCACTCTCATATAGGAACCAATTCCTACTTGTTCATTAGAAGGCATTATATCTTGGAACTAGCACATTCACGATCCCTGAATTATTTGTAGACTAAATGATTTGAGAAACGTGTCATGAATTTGCTCTTGTGAAATTTATAAAACTTAGAAGACTTCTAAGATTTATTTGTCATCAAAACATCATTGTAGTTTGACTGAGACATTATTGAAAGTAGACTGTTACTGATTTACTAATCACTTTTACCCTTGCAAATGTATTTAACTCCTGAACTAGCTCATTGCAGGGTCCCACAACCAGCACTTTGGCTAAACCACAGATTGAACAATTCTGCAACATGGATTTCTAGTTACAGAAATCATGTGCTGTAGCATACTTCAGTTCTGTCACTGTGCCTATAGCGCTGTGAAATCAAGAGAGATTTTGACTTCAAAAAGTCAAATTATGGAAGAGAAAGTATTATATAAGGGGTTTATAATAGATATCTTGATAAAGAGTACCCCCTGTGCTACTTCATTATAAGTGCTCTGATAAAAGCATGACAAACATTTCTGACACATTTTATGAGAATGGCCATTGTGGAAAAGTCTTCACCTCCTGGGAATCCGAATGCATCTTCTGGTGATATTTTACTTACTGCCTCTTTGGCAATCTCTCATCTTGATTCACAGCTTTACTCTTACTGACAATAAACAGTAATTATGCAATAATAACATGAACGACACAAAACCAGAGCAGCACTATCTGGTTGTTGGAAAATTACAAAAGGGAAATAATAGAAAATCTACATAGCAACAGGCTGAGAGAGGAAGACAGGACACAAATGCGGTAGATGAAGTACATTGTCAATCTAAGCCTATTTTCACATAATAGATCCCAAAGCCATCTTGATCTGTGAATTTTGGGATTCATGTCTTGACACACTGTGCTCTTGTTTGAGGGCTGCTGAACACTCTTTTGAGATCTGTAAATATTTTGTCATTTTGCAGCATGCTTTTTTTCCAGTGTGTTTTATATTTAGCAGAGATACCAAAACATTTTAATACAAGTGCCTGTAAGAAAATGAATGACAGAGAAATAAGTACACTTATAAGAGATAAACTATTAAAGTGTTACTTGAAAAGTAACATATTATAAAGATTTATATTCTAATTATCAAAGATAAATAGGACAATATGAGGTAATTTTAGAAAAATTAAAATTACTAGTCAGTCCTGCTTGCTAACAACAACAATCATCTCTATTGACATGAAAGATAAATGCACTGTATGAATGTAAGAGAGAAAATCAGTAACCAAAAAGTTAATTTCTCCTTCACATTCAACTGCTTTGCACCCACTCTGGTGGGCACAGGGTTATGTCCTCCCATGGGATCCAGTAAGAACAAGTTACTAGTTACAGCTAGTAAATACGAGTTCAAGGCAGTTCTTTGTTAGGCCTAAAGTCTTGTTCTCCCACTTGTGCTACAAATTAAGTTAGCATATGTGGTGCCCATCTACAAGAATAGATGGAATGAAGATTCAGGGAACTGTAAGCCTGTCAGCCTGGTCTCAGAGCCAGGAAAGGTTATGGAGCAGATTCAATTGAGTGCCATCAAGCAGCACGTACAGGACAATGAGATCAGGCCCAGTCAATGTGGGTTTATGAAAGGCAGGTTCTGCTTGACTAACTTGGTCTCCTTCTGTGACAAGGTGATCCACTGAGTGAGGGTAAGGCTGTGGATGTTGTCTACCTAGACTTTAGTAAAGCCCCTTTGGCACTGTTTCCCACAGCATTCTCCTGGAGAAACTGGATGCTCATGGCCTGGACTGTTCACTGCAGTACTGTTCACTAGCTGGATGGCCAGGTCCAAAGAGTGGTGGTGAAAGGAGTTAAATCCAGTTCCCAATTTGGGGAACACAAGTGGTGTTCCCCATGTCTCAGTGTTGGGGCGAGTTCTGCTTATTATCTTTATCAATGATCTGGATGAGGGAATTGAGGGTACCCTCAGTACATTTGCAGATGACAGTAACTTGGTTGAGAGTGTTGATCTGCTTCAGGGTAGGAAGGCTCTGCAGAGGGATCTGGACAAGCTGGATTGATGGGGTGAGGCCAATGTTATGAGGCTCTCCCTGCACTTGCGAACTATCTCCACATTAAGGCATCTTAAGCCCAGGTGTTTGCTTGGTTTTCAATGAGCTTACATCATTTGATGTTTATGGCATTGTTCCTTCTTGCTTCTAGCAAAATCTCCCACTGAGACTTTGGAGACAGCAGCCAGACACATAAAACTGCCAACCATAATGCTTTTATGCCTCGTTAAATGAACTCCTGATCTTTTCTGCATTTGCCCAGGCTTTCTAGAGAGCCAGCAGCAGCATAACACATATGTCACAGGAGAGCAGCCCTGCGTTCTCTACCATGCAGTGGCTCTAATGGGTCTGCCAGACACAGGGAAGTGCCCAGTGCCTGTGTGCAGAGCCCAGTGGTGGTTCATGTCAGCAGAACTCAACTCACGTCTCCCTTACTGAGACCAAAATTAACTTTTGGGATTTTCCTATAATTCATTAAAAAATGATGACAAAATTGGAGTGTGCTACGATTAGAGCATTGCCACATTAGTATCATCTGCCTGCTCAGGTGGTGCTGGTGTATAAATTGTCACTGAAAACACATCAGCAAATTGCTTTGGAACAGTAATAAACATAAATACATGAATATGAGTATGTGAAATTGTGTTCCAAGGAACTACAAAGCACACAGAGAGAGACTGGATTTATGAAGCAAGAACTAAAGGAAATGTAAAACCCTACAACTGGCAGTGCTGTTTATTATGCCCAGAACAGACTCTATTTTAATGCATGCAAAGCTCTCTCCCTCTCTTCCTCCAATACACTCCCTGAAACCCATCTGTTCCATGGCACATTGCACTTAACAAGAGCCACCCACCATGCCATTTCAGCATTGTTTATTCAGTGTTGTCCTGTGCAGTTCCAGCTTGTGCTCCTAAACTGCAAGCTCTTCCAGAGGGAAAACCTCTTTATCTGACACAGCGCTCCTATTGTACTCAGCCCTGTATGCTTACATCCCTGCAAAAACAACATGCCTGAAGAGGAAAGGCTTAGACACCAGGAAAAGAGAAGTAATTTACTCTTGGAGCTCAGCATTCAGATGCATTGTTTCAGTACATTAGTGTAGTATTTATCCTCCCCACCCCAGTGAGCAGCCTTGTCTGTGATGGCAAGAAGCCACCATTCCAGAAAACTGCAACCACTGCAGTTATGAAATGTTGGCATTGTGCAGGACGAGGAAGAGTGGCCATGAACTAAACCATGAGGAGTTTCACATCAACATGAGGAAGAACTTCTTTACGCTGAGGGTGGCAGAGCACTGAACAGGCTGCCCAAGGGGTTGTGGAGTCTCCCTCTCTGGAGCCATCCCAAGCCCGCCTGGACATGTTCCTGTGTCACCTGCTCTAGGTGGTCCTGCCTTGGCAGGGAGTTGGACTGAACGATCTTCAGAGGTCCCTTCCAGCACCAATGACTCTGTGAACCATAGGTATTAACACAGTGCAGGTCAGTCTTCCTCCCAAGGAACAAGTGACAAGCTGAAGGGGAATGGCCTCAGGTTGTGCCAGGGGAAGTTTAGATTGAATATTATGACAAATTTCATCAGCAAAAGGGTTGTCAAGCACTGGAGTCCCCATCCCTGGAGGTATTTTACAGACATTCTGATGCGGCACTTGGGGACATGGTTTAGCGATGGAGTTGGCAATGCTGGGTTAACGGTTGGACTCAATGATCTTAAATATCTTTTCCAACCTACACAATTCTATGATTCTGTGTTCAGTAGCATTAACATTGAATAGCTGGAACACTGCAGAAGGTCTGGAAATCACTGCAGTTATCCTCTGATCCTGAAAATTACCAACCAACCAAAGCCCTGCTCATTGCAATCAAGCTCCCCAGGGCACTGGGATTCACTCCCTCTCCACCCAACATCTCCAGCTCCCCCAGACTGATGTTACACTTCAGTGGTATTTTTAATTCATACTTGTTCTATTGTGGTTTTAATGTAGAAACAAGAGGTAAACGTGAGACTTCTCAGTGCTTGCGGGAAGCTTCTTCTGGTCTTAGAGACGCGATGAACCCTTTGGAGCTGGATAAGCTCTGTGCTTGCACTCTGCCCTGCACCATGAAGTCCTGGCAAATTACCAGAGCTCCTCAAGATAAAGCCGGTAAGGAAATAAACTGCTTGCACCGTAAGCCCAGGCACCGGACCTGCAGCAGCAATGACGCCTTAACCACCTCTCCACTTCAGCGCACACGGAGACCTCGGGAGCACGCTGAAAAGGCGACAGGCACCGCCTCCCCTTCACACTTACAAGACTAAATATCACCGAGGGGAGTGGAAAGGCGATTTTCCCCGTCTACCGAGCTACCTGCAAAGCCACACCGCAAAGCTGCAGTGGTCACCCCCATACAGCTCCCTCCTGAAGGGCTGGGGACTGTTCACCAGCCAAGGTGGGGCAGGGCACTGCCACTGAACACCTCCCTCCCCTCAGAGTACAAGCGGACACTCACTCCCCTCACCGACCACATTCAGCCACCATCCCGCCCAGCGGCGGGCACCCTCCTCCTTAAAGGGATGGATCCTCCTCCTTAAAGGGGTAGCGCCCTTACGCACGCCCCGCCCGGCAGGAGGGGCGGGTGTTCGGTGTGTCATGTCTGCCCGCCTGCCCTCCTGGCCGTGCAGAGTTGGGGTTGTTCCGCGGCCGCGCCGTTGTCATGTACCGCCTGGTGCGCCTGGGCCCGCTGCGGCCGCTGGTGCCCCTGCGCAGCGCCCCGCTGCTCGCTGCTGCCTCTCCCCGCGTCCTGTGCTGCGGTCCCCGTCTGGCCTGGGCCGGCCTCAGCCCGCCGCTGCCCCTGGTAACGCTGCGATCCGCCGCCGGCAGCTCCGCCAAGGTAGGGGAGCGGGGAGGGGGCTCGGTTGGGACCCGGTATCCTGGGGTACTGCCCTGTGTGAGGGGGCAGCGCGGCCCAGGGCCCGCCTCTGAGGGGAGGTGTCTCGGTGAGGAGCGGGTTGTAGCTTCGATTAAAGCACAAAGTTGTCCTGGCCTGGAAGTGTTTTGGGGGCTGTCTGCAAGGTTAGAGGTTCGGCTGGCCTGCAGCACCCTGGCGTGTTTGCCCTGCGAGCTGCGGGGTTTGAGCACTTGGGGCGAGTCGTGAGGAAATAAAGGGGTTTCGGTAGTTCACGCAGAGCGGGGCAGGAGCTGCTCCCGGTGACCGTGGCTGAAAGGGTTTGCTGACAGCGGCGGCGGGTCCCCAGCCTGCCTGCGCCGTGTCATCAGCTGAGACGTACAGCACGAACGTGCACCCCGTTAGGGACGTGTTTCACTGTGCTTTCAACATCCAGGTGATTTCTTGGAGGTGGGAAGGGGAAAGTAATACTAATTTCTACCATTATAGAATCACAGACTGGTTTGGGTTGGAAAAGATGCTCTCGTGAGACCTCACTTGGAGCATTGTGTGCAGTTCTGGTGTCCTCAGCGTAAAAAGGACATGGAACTGTTGGAACAAGTCTGGAGGAGGGCCACGAGGATGATCAGGGGACTGGAGCACTTCCTGTATGAAGATACGCTGAAAAAGTTGGGGCTGTTCAGGCTGGAGAAGAGAAGGCTGCGTGGAGACCTCAGAGCAGCCTTCGAGTATCTGAAGGGGGCCTATAGGGATGCTGGGGAGGGACTCTTCATTAGGGACTGTAGTGACAGGACAAGGGGTAATGGGTTAAAACTTTAATGGGTAGTTTAGATTGGATATAAGGAGGAAATTCTTTACTGTAAGGGTGGTGAGGCACTGGAATGGGTTGCCCAGGGAGGTTGTGAATGCTCCATCCCTGGCAGTGTTCAAGGCCAGGTTGGATGAAACCTTGAGTGAGATGGTTTAGTGTGAGGTGTCCCCGCCCATGGCAGGGGGGTTGGAACTGGATGATCTTAAGGTCCTTTCCAGCCCTAACTATTCTATGATTCTATACTGTATTTCAGTAGGATACAGGGGGCTGCTTGACACCTGCTTGTGAATGTAAGTTTTCAATACAAAGCTTCATGTACAGTTTTAATTTCCACAGCTTAATATTCAGGTTAACTTTGGTAGCCTCATTACAAAGCATAACATGATGCTTCAAATTTGTTTTCATGTCCTTAGTTTGCTTAGGAAGCTGAATCTTTGCATAAATTATGTGAACAGAACTGGCTTTCTAGGAGAAATATTGTAGCAGAATTATATGGAAAATGGGTAGCTTTCTCTGCTAAGTTGTTTGTTGTTGAGGACACAACTGTACTGGGTACTTCAAATAACATCTGTCAAAGTGAGACTTTTTTAACATCTTGCTTCAATACCATGCAGAAATTGCCTGGCTTGTGAGCCTGAGAGCACGAGTGAATTGAAATGTACTTGAATGATGAGAACAAGCTATTCTTCAGTCCTTATAATCCATCTTGCAGTTGTGGCTGTGAGACATGGAGTTCCCCTGAGGCTTATGTATCTGTAGATTTGTCAGATCCTATTCTCATGGCAGCTGTGTGAAGAGAATCCTTGTGTTTGGCTCCTTAAATTAGTAATAATCATCTTTGGATGAAAAATTCACTGTAAGCTGTTAAGTCTTAAACTACCATTCAAACCATGCTTGGCTTTTAAGAAAATCACACTGTTGAATAAATGAGCATTCGTGACTAAACACATGCTGTTGGTTGAATTGTTAGGACAGCTTTTGGCAGAAGGTACTATGAGACTGTTTTGTTCAGTTCAGCTCCTGAGCCAAAAAAAAACCAAAAGCTAACATTATCCGTTATTTTTTTAAAGATATGATAATCAGAATAAGTTGGGCTACATAATTCCCTAAATACATATTTAGAGAAAAAGACAAAGCAGCAGCAAATGTAGGGGTTTTGGGGGAGTGGTGTGGTTGGTATGTTTGTAATCACAGATTAAAGCCAGTTCATCCTACCATGAATGTTGTGGGAGAAGCCTCTCATGTGTATCCTAATTTGCACTTTCACTAACTCCAGGGATTAATCAAAAGTATTTTTCTTCTAATTTTCTTCTAATTGAAAGCAATCTACAGCAGGACAAAGTGCTGCCAGGCACTCAGTAGCTGTTGCTGTCCTGTGGGCAGCAGTGGCCTTTAGTGTGCTTGACAGGTTGTCATGACTGCTGCTGAATTCAGCTGGAAAGAAAGGACTCTTCTAATCTTTCCTGACGACTGCTTGCTAATTAAAGAAAAATCCTGAGGTCTCTGTGGAAACGTTTTCTTTCTCCCATTCGTATTTCTTCTACGGCAAGTATGAGGAGGTATCCAAGGGCTGTCTTTTTTACTAGCCCTTCTTTGCCTGCATCACACTATCACATTGCTCTGGGGTATATTTTAGTATAAAGTTCTGCACTTTAAATTTACCCAGTTTAAAAGCTGTCAATAAATTTCACTATGACAAATGAAAAAAACTTTTCAGTGAAGTTAGGCTATTTACACCAGCACTGGCATGTCTATGTAGCTATTGTCTACACTGTGGCAACAGCATTGCTCATGGCTGTCAGCAGCAGTTCCCTGGTTCATCCTTTTTTTCAGCTGATCTACGGAGTGTGATTTATAGGAACTTATGTTGGACTTCTATCAAGAAGTTGCTAGTAAGTGAGCATCAGTTGGTATCATGTAGGCTTCCAGTGCCATGAGCAGCTTAGCTCTTGAGCAAAAAGCTGTGTTACAAGAATTTGCTGTATAAAGCTGAGCAGTGGGTGTAAGCAAAGATCTCTTTGGCACCTCTGTCTCATCTCTCAAGTGACTGCTATACTGATGCGAAAGAGCAAAAATGTGTTACTACCTTCCCAAAGCATTCTGAGCAGTGCTGTATGCAAGCCACTTCTTTCATTATTTCAGATTGGCTCAACTGACTGGAATAGGGTATTGTGCTTAATGGTAATAAATACTTCTGTTTTCTTTTTAGGATGCAGGTGGATCCTCTGAAAAGGCAGCCACAGATCCCAGTGGTGAAAACAAGAAACTCAACAAATCCCAGCAGCTGAAACGAGTGTTTAAAGAGTATGGTGCTGTAGGGGTTTCATTCCATGTTGGAATTTCATTAGTATCTCTAGGTATCTTCTACCTGGCTGTGTCAAGGTGAGGTTTTTACAGTTGTCTGTAGCCTCTAGTTAATGGTTTAGCCAAGAAAAATACCTTACTATTGTGCTTACTTCTGCAAGGGGACATTTACTTTGTGCCACTTTGATCTATACGCAGTAATCTTCTGTATTCTGAGTTTAGATAGATCTGTAAATGGATCTAATCTCCCATCAAGCATGAGAGAAGTTGGATGTACATGGTCTTTTTTATGTAAGTTCAAGACCCATGGTGAGCAGGTGAAAACAGCAGAGTGGAGACTGCACCGGAGTAACTAAACAGATGAGAGAATTCATTTTTGTTCTGCAGAGATATCTTTTATTCTCATGCAGTAGCATGGTCTGCAGAGATAGAGCCATACAAAAGTGCTGGTGCTTAGAGATAAATTTGTTTTTCTGGGTATTGAACTCTGTTTTTGCAGTTGAACTGCAGAAGGTAGCAGATACTGAAACAGGATTAGATTATAAAAGAAAATACTAGATAACCATATAGGAGTCAGGTGGGAAATTGTGTCTGTGGCTCCTGGTGGGAATGCCTCAGTTATAAATAATCTTTGAGCATGAGGTATTCCAGTTGAGGAGACAGGGAAACACACATTATTCCTCAGAATATTCCCTGCTGCTTACTCTTGCCTTCAGTGGGGGGTATGTGAATGCTGATTTCTCTCATTTAGTACATCGTGGCACACACAGGGTGACAATGAATTTTCTTCCTTCAGGTATGATTTAACAGCTTTGGAAAATTACTCAAAATGTAGGGACCTTGATGAAAGCTGTTATGTCCATAGAGAATTAAAATATTAATGGATTCGGTGGATAACACTTATTTGAGATCCATAATACTTCCTTCACTTGCTTGATTTTAGATAAGATACTTGTAGTTTTCTCAGCTTTTGCTCCTCTGTTAGAACACTCTAAGCCTAGCAACAGATACTTCGTTTGGTTTGGGTCAGTCTATATTAATGTGATAAATTTCATCAAGACACAAAGAGGCTTCATTGTAAATCTTGGGAAGATGAATTTCCAACACCAGTTCATAAATTTCTAACTTTTTTAAAGTTCAGAAGTAGAGAAGCGGATTCTTTTCTCTCTGAAGGTTGAACATGGGGCTGAGTATTCTCCATGCACATGCTGCAGCTACTCAGTTGTAAAACTAAGAACATATTCGACTGCACAGTAACTTGCCCTTATATAAGGGGAAGAAAAAGTGCATTTGATAATATTGCATGTGTTGTTGCTACAGAAGTAACTTAAGCTGTTACTGCTGAACTGATTGGTTGAGTTTCTTATTTAATAATATCTAATTTATAAATAATTTATAAAAAATTCCAGTTGGATGCCATGTAAAATTCCCTGGAAAAGAAAAAATGGCATTTTATATTTTTTTAGTATGCAACCTTAAAATAAAGAGATCTTGTGTTCTTTTTCCGCAGTGGAGTGGATATGACTGCAGTTCTCTTCAAACTTGGTTTCAGTGAATCATCATTGCAATCTAAAATGGCAGCTGGCACAAGTACATTTGTGCTGGCATATGCCATTCACAAGTTGTTTGCTCCAGTAAGAATCAGCATTACCGTAGTTTCTGTGCCATTCATTGTCCGATACTGCCGGAAGATTGGTTTCTTCAAACCTCCTACCCCAAATCCATGAGGATTTCTTACTGGTTTTTACTCCAATTGTTTTTGTTTTTTTAATGCTCTATATCCACATAGCTTTTCAGATTGTTAAATTTCTTTAAAAGATTTGTTTGGATCCATGTAAATGCTGACCTCCTCTTGCATTTCTTACTTGTTCTTTCAGGTGAATGGTGGTGAATGGTACACTGTGAAAAAAGTGCTGTCCTTCTTTCCATTTTGCCACCTCTTCTTTAGAAAAACCTGTAAAAATGGTTTTCACTGCAAGTGGTAATATAAGTGCTTGACAATGAGCAGTCTCTTTAGAACACACAGTTCTAGGACTTTATAATCTAGCTTTTGGGGCCTTAATTATTTTTTCTTGTCAAAATAGAGTGCCAGCGTTAGTTTGTGTCTGTGTATTTGGGAAACAGTAAGATTCTCTTCCTAATAGGCTGTGGGATCAACAATATCCTACTATATGAATAGTTCCTTTGGTAAGGGTATATACTGAAATCTAAAGTGGTAGGTGGGTGTTTCTTTTGTTATAGGAGGCATACATCATGAACACAGTCTTGCAGCACAACACACATGCTGAGTTAACTTAGGCAGGAGTACCTGCATGCTTAGTAATCGCACAGTAATAATTGGTTTAGCCAGAACAGGCAATGTACTGTTCTGAAACTACAGCTCCTTTGAGGTGCTTCCATGTTTCAAGAGTTTATTTGAAGATGGGTTTTATTTATAGGCTAGGAGCTGGCCTTAATAAAGTCCTTTTTGTGTTGTTTATTTTTTTTATGCCTACAGACTCTACTGAAATCAGTGTAACCAAAATTACCTCCTGTGGGAACATACTCCAAAGATTATCAAGTCAGAGGCAAAGGTATCTGGGGGTTTTTAATGTATTGAGATCTAGCTGTGTACTAGACACATTTTTTTAATCTGAAAACTAATCCTAGCAGCTTTCTGCTTCTGTGGGTGAAACTCAAAACTGCACCTGAAGTCCAGACATTGCAATTCATAGCTTCCCAAGAGCAATTTATGTGCTGTTGTTTGACAGACTTTTGAATGTACCAATTAGAGGTGATTTTCAATCTTATTTGGATGCTGTTCCTGTTAGAATGCAACTGCACATGAACCACTTTTCAGTTAAACTAAAAACTGGATCCCAAATACTTGAGTATTGACTGCAGCATTGTGGTAAACCTGGGTTTCAGGCTCAGCTCACAGCTGTGAGATAGCTTAAGTCAAGACTTTAGGACCAGTTCCTCCTTCCAGGTCTGCTCTTTTACATTGGCCTTTGTTGATACTTACCCCAAGGTGGCTCTGACACAATCTGTTCATTCAGGAATCTGATTAAAGTAAAATAGCATGCAATTACCCTGAAATTTAGTGAACTGAGAGAAAGGGAAAACTGTAGAAGAGGTAGTTTACTTCCTTTGCCCTGTGGAAGCAAGCTGATACTAGAGACTGCCAACTGAAAGCAAGGGGCCCCTTTGGTCTGTGGGGCTCTGCTGTTAGCCCATTTGCGGGGTTTCTGTCTTAGGATGGAAACAGTCCCTGCAGTGAGCAGATACACATACTGGAGGCTTAATATACAATGCAGACATAGCCATCCATGGCACATGCGTAAAGGTGCATTACACTGGTATTTTGTGCAGTGTTTAACAGCCACAGGAGCAGGGCATAATGAGAATTAGCCTTGTGGTGTAGCCTGTAGAGCTTTAAGCTGTGTCACTAAGAGAGCTTATGTCATGCACAGCTGCTTGGCTTGCTTGTTAGCATATGGAGCCAGTGCTCTGGTGCTTCACATACCCATGTGTGGAGGAGGGATGGCTGTCCCATTCATTTGAACTAGCTGCTTATTCCCCAAAAATAAAAGAAACAAAATGCAGTTGGCTTGCTCCTGTTTTATGCCTGTTTGCAAGTATGGCTGCTGAAGCTGGCAGCTTGGCCAGGGCACTAGCTTCAACTTCCCAGCTCTAATTAGAGCATAAGGAAGCTCTGCCTTTACCCCTGACTAATCTGTGTGATTATACCTGTTATGTGGATGGAAGCTTAGTGCAGTTCTTGCCTATCAAACAGTGCACTGTCTGCACCACAGGTAAAGGGTTAGCATGGTATGACAATGTGCAATGAACAGTAGTGCAGCTTTCTGTGATCTGCTACATTATAGAACAAGTAGCATATTTTTAAATTTCAAGTGGGCTGTCACTGTTTCTTAAGAGTAAGTTTTACTTCGGCTTTTTTTCTCTCCTGTTCATGGAAGCCTTTGGGTTTTGGTTTATTTTTCCTGCATGTCCTCTGTATCGGTTCAGGGCAATGTTCCGTTAACAAGGATAACAGAGGAATTCCAGAATCATCATGTGGCAGCCTTGATTTAATCAGTCATTTCTGATAAGTACATTTTGTCCTAAAGTTGATAGAAAAGGAAGATGCAGGCTTTTTCTAAAAAGTCTCTCTGTAAAGCAGGAATCATTTAAAGCAAATGCACCTCAAAGTTCTTAGTGCTGGTACTTTTATCTGGAGACTTCCTTGCCGTAAAGAAACAGCTTCATTTAAATTATGACCAGGATTCAGATGACCTATTCAGATAAATATGGTTGTATAAACTACTGGCAATCTTTGATGAAGCTTTTTTTACAAAGTATTATATTAATTTGAGAGTATATTTTGAATTCTAGAATCCTTGCTGTAAAAAGACTGTTTTTTTTAAATGGTTTGTAAAATAGCAATGAGCTTAAAGCCTTATAATGAAAATACAATAAATTGCTTTCTCTTAATTTGCTTGGAGTTTTATCAGTTCTTATGCTTTGGTGGCAAGTGCCTACCCTTGCTCCATTTTAGGAAATAACATCTTACAACACCAGATGTTAACATTAGTTCCTGTTACATATCCCATTGGAAAACAGTACCTTCCAGCCCTTTCTCCCAGTGTTGTCTTTGAATAACTGCATTTAAAGAAAGGATGAACCCAAGCTTCTGCCTAGGTAAATGGCAACATGTTTGGTACTTGTAGTCCTGTATGGCAAATGTAGAATAGGGCATGACCATACCTACTTTTGGTACCTGCACTTTGAGCAAGAACTTTATACCAGCCTCCTTTTTGACAGAGGTGGGAGGTAAACTTACTATGTGATCACAGCCAAAGAATCAAGCTGTCCTGATGGTAAAGACAAGGGGTTAGACACAGCCAGTGAAAGTGATAATACCATCAGGAGCCTTACCATGTTGCAGCATTATACAACGCATCTTTATTTCAGAAGTTGACTGCTCACATTTAAGATAAAAATTAGACAAAAATAATGCACACATCATTTTTAGGACATTTCAAGAAACACATTCGCCTTGCTCAGTTTCAGATTACACCACAGTTATGATACCCTTAGCAGCCCAGTAAATTCAGAGGCAGGTATCTCTAGGATATTGCACTGTTCAATAAGCTAAAACAACTTACTCTTGTTGGACCAGTGAACCTTTACCAGGACAGACAACATCATAAGAGCCTTGAACAGCTTAATACTTACATCAACAAACCTGGCCCACACATGACAAGATTTCAAGTATTCTTTTAAGTATTCCACAATGTCCAGCTAGAAGTCAAATAATTTTACATTGTGATCAGAATTTAATAAGACTGCCAACCCAAAGACTTGCATTCCAATTGCTACTAGATTCCAAGACCTGCTTTTTGTATTGTAGGCATTACAGTAGTCACAGTACAAGACTCTCATTGATCCCATGAGGTTGTCCCTGCTAAGACTGTGTTCTGGATGGGGCAGCAGCATCACTTTTTCTGCTACTGGGCACCTTTGTAGAGTTTGCTGTAATCCAGGGATGAAGCAGTACATCCTTCAGGGGCAGTCGAGAGAATGGGCTATGCTTCAGAAGCTTTGAAATTAAATCCCTCGCACCTTCTGTTACAAATGGAGGAAACTTGAATTCCACCTAGGGAAAAAAAAAAAAAAAAGATACTAAACATGATGCAGAAGTTCCTTAACAATAACCAAACTAGAGACAAAGGGCTCTACCCTCTGATGTAGATCTAGAAAGGCTGAGTCAGCCTCAGGCTATGCACCTTATGCCTGCTGAGGCAAGATTAAGTAATTTCATCATAATGCTGAAGAAAACAAGGTTCTCAGAAGTGAAGCTAATATATTGGTTCAGTGTACTTAAGATCAGTTTGCTGGGACCTCTCTAGGGTATGCAAAAGGAAAGGTTAAGCTTACTTATTTTCAGTAACACATAGGATGTTAAATATTCATTTTATAAATTAGAAAAGGAAAGAGGTGAGAAGATTGGTTGCTTCATGAAGAGGTAGAAGTTCAGATGCAGGCAGAAACAGGGCAGAACTAAATACATAAGTGTGGAGGGCCAGAGCAAGTTTCACCTTGATGAGCTGGCCTTGTGTCCTTGAAGCAGAGGAAGGCAGGAGAGGAGGGGACTTGCGGTGGAAAGAAGGAACTCAGCTAACGACTGGAGGAATGCATGGACAGCAGCATTGAACCAATCAGTGTAGCAGTAGAAGCTTGTGAACACAAGGCAGTACCCTATCGGAGTGTTTCTGGTGGCACATGCTTGTAGAACAATATTATAAAAAGCCTGTTAGCGAAGCAATAAAGGTCTTTGGCCTATACCCCTCCAGAGTCCATGTCGTCAATCTCCACAATAAGGCAAGGTATCTTTAAGGTCTCATTCTACTGCATGAGTGAAGATTGTTTCAGGGATTTAGTTTTAGAATCATAGAACAGTTAGGGTTGCAAAGGACATTAAGTTCATCCAGTTCCAACCCCCCTGCCATGGGCAGGGACACCTCACACTAAACCATGTCACCCAAGGCCCTGGCCTTGAACACCACCAGGGATGGAGCATTCACAACCTCCCTGGGCAACCCATTCCAGTGCCTCACCACCCTAACAGTAAAGAATTTCTTTCTTCTATCCAATCTAAACTTCCCCTGTTTAAGTTTGAACCCATTACCCCTTGTCCTATCACCACAGTCCCTAATGAAGAATCCCTCTGCAGGATCCTTATAGGCCCCCTTCAGATACTCGAAGGCTGCTCTGAGGTCTCCACACAGCCTTCTCTTCCCCAGGCTGAACAGCCCCAACTTTCTCAACCTGTACAGGAGTTGCTCCAGCCCCTGATC